GTCATGGTAGATATTAGCAAGATGATTACGAACAGTGGTATAGGCCAGGCATTTAATGTGATATGACTGGTGTCCTTTTAAAAGTCAAAATTTGAACACAGACTTTAGGGAAGATACCATGTGCGGACAAAAGCAGACACTGGAGAGATGCCTCACAAGCCAGGTAAAGCCAAGGACTGCCAGCAAGCCATCAAAAATCGGGAGAAAGGCATGAAATAGAACCTCATGTAGCCCACAGAGGGAACCAACCCAGACGGGAGCTTGATCTTGGGCTTTTACATTCTTGTTAGTTAAGTCACACCATTTGCAGTACTTTGTTACATAGATCTAATAGACCAATGCATCAAGGATATAACAACTGAAGAAATACATTTTTAGAAACTCTTTTGTATTTAAACAATTTACCTTTCTTGGTAAGTCTGAAATGATATTGTTTCAGAATCATGCAATATCCTGTCAGAAGCAATAACAAATTAAAGATAATAAACTGTTGTCTATCTTAAAAGTTGATGTGCAAAAAGGCTTGAAGGTAGTTAGCAGAAGAATTCTAAGATCTTGGAATGAAGTAAAGCACAATAAAAAGCGTGTTTTACTTACAGATACACCAGCGTGTATAACAGGAGCTGGCAGGGCGTGATCACTTGTGCTAGTAATTACACCCTGGGTGGAGCTGGTGCTGGAGAAGCGTCAGATTACATAGAGGTATGGCACGAGAAGCTTCAAGTACCAGGTATGTGGTAGGGGAGGGCTCAGAAGGAATCTTAATAAGTTAGGAAAGTAAATGCCAAAAGCAGTGGCCAGATGGATGAGATAAAGGCTTTATACAATAACATTAAAATTGTTCTAGAAAATATGGCTGGCTTTTATTAATCTTCATATTAAAAGATGACTGAAGAAAACCATAATAAAATGTAGTCCACAATAGCAGTTGACATGTCTCAAGGAAACATCTCCCCTGCAGATGATACCCATATTGTTAGTAAGAGTAATAAAGACAGTCATTCAACATCTTTGAAGCTTAATCAGAGGGTTTACAACTAGTTGAGAACCATTTATGGTGAACCGAGAGCCAGTTAATCAATAAAGTCAATGAGAACGGGGGTAGCTGAGCCATCTGGCTGGGAAGAAACCCAGTTCCCTCAGCTCCGCCCTGCAGAAGAACTGCTACCCTGGCCTCTGCAGCTTAGTGCTGCAGTCTCGTCTTCCTTAGGTGGTGTTGGTAGCTCTTAAACATGGGAAAATGCCCACTTTGTACAGGTCTCTGCCCAGAAAGGCTCTTAGCATGTGAGTACCACCAGCTACAGCAGTGCCTGTTTGCTTACCCCACTCCTGCCTGCAGGGAGGATCTGGCAAGGGCCGTTGTGCAGTCCTTTCCACCCTTGCAGGCCGTTCTAGTGAGCTTGCGGCCCAGTGGCACCCCCACCTCCCAGGTTTCTCAGGCAGAGACTCTGCTCAAGTAGACTTGGCATCCAGTGAGCACCGGCCTCCCCCGTCTTCTCTGACAAGCCAGGGAGATCAGTGGCAGGCGATGCAGCAGGAGGAGGGTCATCACGTCAGTCTCCCCCCATCACACCACCACACACAGCTCTTGCTACACGGAGAGGATCCCGGTGAGGTCACGAGCAGGAAACAAGCCCTACTTCTCTCCACCCAGGTCCTGCGCCTTGGTGAACGGATTCTTTTTGGACCAGGGAGAAAAATTCTCTGCCCTTGACAAGAGGTGTGGGATCAAAGGGATCAGGCCCTGGAACCATTTATGCTGATGCTTGAAATGCAGTGTGTTACTCAGCCAGCAGGTAATGGGAGTTAATAGTCAGGTTTGGTAACAAGAGATGCAGATCAGCCTGAGGCCCTGTGAGACCAGAGCAAGAGACAGTCAAAAGAGCACAGCTAAGCTTAGCCACCTGCAATGGGCAGGAAATCTGCGTGAATACCCAGGGCTGCACTCTGGGAGGAGTGATTTCAGAGGCCTCTCATTGTGGAGGAAACAGGCTTCACTGAAATCGAGAACAAAAGATGACAGAGAACAAAACAAAACAAAACAAAACAAAAAGTTAGATTTTGGTAAGAGGAAGAAAAGTGAGAAGTTTTAGCTAAACATAGTGGAAGGTAGGAAGACCTAGCTTACTAACACTGGGAAGTAAGGGGCATCACTACAGACTTTACAGAGACATCATGGATTATTGGGAACAGTATGAGCAACTGCACGCTGGCCCGTTAGGTAATTTAAATGAACAAATCCCTAGAAAGACACGAATTACTAAAACTGAATCAAGATCAAGAAAAAAAATCTCAATAGACCTGCAAGAAATAAGGAGATAGCATTAATAATTTATCAACTTCTCAAGGGCCAAGCCCACAGCCAAATGTCTTCACAGATGGATTCTACTAAATACTTAAAAAGGAATTCACACCAGCTCTTCACTATGCCTTCCAGAAAAATAAGAAACTGAACATTTTCCTGTTCTTTATAGGAGCTCAGTAATACTCTAATGCTAAAGCCAGACTAAGACATTGCAAGAAAGTCCACTATGCTGGCAACTTGATGGCTTAATTTTAATTTTTATGCTACATTGAATTTCTGGTTCACAGGGCCGTTGGGAAACAAATACGTGTTGTTTTTAACTGGCCAAATTTGTGTAACTTGTCACATCAGTGTCTTAGTCCGTTTTGTGCTACCACAATAGAACAACATAGATTGAGTCACTTATTAAGAACAGGAGGTTATTCCTCAAAGGCTTGGATGTTCAAGATCAAGGTGAGGTGTCTGGCGTCAGGTGAGAGTTTCCTGAGTTTCTTCCACCATGGAAGGCAAAGAGCAAGCCAGCCAGGCGCTGCTGTGTGAAGCTTCTTTTCCGAGGGCCTTGGCCTCACGATCTAATCAGCACTTAAAAGCCCCACTTCTTAATGCTTCCAGCACTAGTGGGTGGACATCTGACCATAGCAAGCGTCCACAGAAAGCTAATACAGCAATAAACAGAATGGAGTGTACACCCAGAGCAACAGGGACAAGGCTGTGGGCACTGCACTAAACACAGAACAGAGCAGCTACAAAAGACCTCTGTGGACTGATTTGTTCACATGAAATGTCCAGAATAGGCAAATCTACAAAAATAGAACGCAGACCAGTAGTTTCTAGGGGCTGAGAAACCGTGATGGAATGAGGGACAATTTCTAATACATACAGGAATATTTCTAGAGGTGATTAGAATATTCTAAATTTAGATTGTGGCAGTGGTTGCATATTTCTGTGACTATACTAAAACCTCTGAATTATACACTTTAAATAAATGGTGAATCATATAGCATATGTAAAGCTGCTTTTAAAAGTTTGTAGGAAAAGGATGGAGAAGAGGAATGAGGATTGATTGAGTCAATCTTTCTTTCGGATTTTAATAAAAAAAAAACCCTTCCTGTGTTCTAAGAGACGGGGTCCTCTGCTAGTTACTGAATTTTGTGTTTCCCTAAACTTTTTTTTTTTTTTAAATTTTGAAGAGAGTAGTAAAAGAGAAACAAACAAAGAAATAGAATAGTAGCAGCATACCAGTATCACAAACATAAACAAATCAAAGCAAGAACATTCCCTAAATTCTTTAGGTGTCTGTTTTTGAGTTCCTAGACATATCTTTCTGCCCCACTGTTTACTACATTGTGATAAAGTTACTGATTTGCTTTTGGCCTCATCCTGAAGACTGTAAGTCCTTGGGAGAGGGAGCTATGCTAATCTCTTTATTTTCAGTGCTTTGCCTGAGGAGGAAGCGAGTCTATGTTCTCTGAGTAATAGAGAAATAAAGGAAAAGGTCACAGGAGAGGCTGCGGGTAATGAAAGACCAGCTTAGGAGATAAGCAGCCCAGTTTACAGGGATAGGTCGTGGCCATCAGAAACCAGATTGCTGTAAAGGCGGCGTGACCCCAGAGGTACTAAGAACCAAGCAAAACCAGAGACCCCGCCGAGGGCACGCAGGAATGCTCTGTACCAGCAGTGGGCCCTGAAACCCTGGACTCCACCACCGCTTCAAGGAAGCACTTGAAAAAATTTGTGTCTGGACCAAACATGTATAAACTTTTTCTGGTCCCCACCCTCTAAAAATAACAACTGCTTAGATAGCATTTACATTTTATACTATTAGGAGTCATGTAGAGAAGTTTTAAAGTATACCAGAGGATCTGCTTAGGCAATATGCAAATATTATACCATTTTGTAGAAAGGACTTGAACATTTGCGGACGCTGGTGTCTCCGAGGCATCCTGGAAGTGATTGCCTGTGGACACTGAGGGGTGATGTACTTAGTTTAAAATGCACAATTTTCAGACTAGAAGAGATAATTACGCATTGAGGGAAATGGGAAAGACACACACATATTCCCAGGTCCTGATGAGAGGGCGATGGAGTGACTTACAGGAACGCCTGAGGGTCAGATGCAAGAGTTGTGAGGATACCGTTGTATTTTACTTCCTTTGCTGGTACTAGCACTGCAGCTACCGTGTCCACCGCGGCTACGGGCGATCGGACGCTTACTGCCGGCCAGGCTGTGTGCTTTCCCTGTGCTTCCCACTAGGTCTCCACAAGGACCCCCTGAGGGAGTGACTGGCGGTCCTTCTGCACGCGTGGAAGCGGAGGCTTTCGGGGTTTGGCGGTGTCCCTCACCCCTCTGCCCGGTGCTCTGCCAAGGTCCAACCCACCCCTCTTCGCGAGCTCTGCGCTCACGTGGCTGCGCTGGGGGCAGGTAACACAGACCGTCAGGCTTGGCGTGAGGCCCCGAGGAGCGAGATGAGCCCTGATCTCAGACCCTGAAGCGCTCGGAGCCTATTCCGCCCTGCTGGGGAGGTGGCCTTCCTTCCTGGCCCCGGGCCGAGGGGAGCGAGCAGTAATTAGTGGAAGCACAAGCCCAGCACGGAGCAAGCGTTGCGGGAAGCCTCTAAGGCCGAATAAAGGCTCGCGAGTGAGGCACCAGGCAATAACCGCAAAATTGAGCTGGAGCCGTGCGCGTGGGCGGAGAAAGGACCCGGAGTAACGCTCCACCCGGGGCGGTGCCCTGAGCGCTGTGGTCTGAATGATCGCGTCCCGCACCCCACATCCACAAACTGAAGCTGAATCACGTAAGCCGTAAGGCGGGGCTTTGAGGAGGCGATAACTTAGCGGGGTGGCTCATCAATAAGATCTGTGTCCTTCTGAAGGGCTCCCCAGAGAGCCAGCTGTCCCTGCCCTACGGACAGGGCTGGAGGCGCTGTCTGGACCAGGAAGAGACGCTTGGCTGTTTTGGTTTTTTTTTTTTTTTTTTTCCGGTACCGGGAATCGAACTCATGACCTTGCGCTTGCCAGGCAGGTGCTGCACCGCTGAGCTAAATCCCCAGCCCCCAGGCAGAGACTCTTAGTAGATGACAAACCTGCGGACACCTCGACCCAGCCCTCTCGGAGTCCAGAGCCTGAGAAACACCTTTCTGCCGTCTACAAAGTACCCGGTCTGCTATTTTGTAACAACGGCCCCAACAGACGGAGACAACAGGGAAATAATGAAGTCTCAGGAAAAGTAAAACCCGTTTCCGGCCGCCCGCCCAGCTCAGCTCCCGCGGAGGGTGTGCGCACCCACAGTCCCCATCTCCCTCGCAGGAGCAGCACAAAGGTTGCGGGGGGATCAGACGGCAGGACCACCCCAGTCCCGGCCCCGCGGAGCCCCGCAGCCCGATGGCGGCCCCGGGTCGGCCCGCGCCTCCCCCTCGGTGAGTTGTGCCCAGGACCCTGGGCGCTAAAGACAAAGGTCCAAGGGATCCACATCCAAGGAGTCACTGAGGTGGTCTGGGGGCACCGCAGGTCCCGGATGCTGCTTAGTCAGCCTTCAGGTACGGCGTGTACTCGTGCAATGACACAAAAATGAAAGCATCTAACACACTTGAGAGAACGTCCAGTTACACTAGTACTGAAATATTAAGGTGATCAAATTGGAGGACTGAGAAGTAAAACCCTTTTAGTGTGATCATCACACAATAAAATGTGCGAATTTTATCTTTAATTTACATTCATCTATTTTTTTTTGTTTTATTTATTTTTATTTTAAAGATAAAAGGATGGAAACATAATAACAAACACACATACATGTACAAAACAGCACCAAAACAATGCAAGCAATACTGAATTGCAGACAAGATGATAGGAAATTAACAGCGGTTGTTGTATTACAGATTGATATCTTCAAATTGGTTACTCAGGTAAACAAATATAAATATGTAAGAGTGACCAAACAATTAAACATTAACTGTTCGTTTCAAAAAAGCAATAGAAGTCAGCAGTACAGCTATGTTAGCTATACTGTGTATACATATATACATAATTTTCCCCTTCTTTCTTTTCTCTTTTCCCTCATCCCAGTTGTTCTTTGCTTTTGAGCAGTTTCCTTACGTTTCCCAATATCTACCTCCTAATTTTTATTCACTCTTTCAGGTTCTTACACTAGTAAGACAATATGTTGTTTACACATGCAGGTCTGATTTATTTCTTTTATGAGTATGGTCTCTAGTTGTGTCTGTTTACCTATAAAAGACTCGAGTTTATCTTTCTTTATAGCTTAGTAATACTTCATTATATAAAATACCACAACTTTTTTTATCCATTCCTCAGTGGATGGGCATTTGGGTTGCTTCCATGATTTAGCTGTTACAAATTGTGCTGCTATAAACATGGGTGCACATATATTGCTGTGATATGTTTTCAGTTCTGGGAAAATACCCAGAAGGGGAATAGCTGGGTTGAATGGGACCTCTAGACCTAGTTTGCTCAGGAATCTCCAGACTGATTTCCACAGTGGTTTCACCAGTCTGCATTCCCACCAGCAGTGGAGAAGAGTTCCTATTTCTCCACAGCCTTGCCAGCATTTGTTATAGGTTGACTTATTAATGCTAGCCATTCTTACTGGGGTGAGATGGAATCTCAGTGTTGTTTTAATTTGCATTTCTTGAATGACAAGTGATGTTGAACATTTTCTCATGTATTTATTTGCCATTTGTATTTCTTTATCTGAGATGTATGTATTCATCTCAGATGCCCATTTCTGGGGGGGGGGTTAAGTTTTTAAATTCTATATATATTCTAGACAGAAGTCCTTTGTCTGAGGGACAGCCAGTTAAATTTTTTTCCAAGTTTGTTGGTTTTCTTCTTACTCTGCTAGTGATTTCTTTGGATATGCAAAAACTTTTCAGTAAGATGAGATCCCAGTTGTTGATTCTCTCAAGTATTTCCCATGCTGTTTGGTTTTTGTTCAAGAACTCTCTGCCTACCCCTGTATCTTCAAGATTTTTACCTACTTTCACTTCCAGCAGATTTTGTTTCTGTTTTAATAATGAGATCTGTGATCCATTCTGACTTGAGTTTGGTGCATGGTGATAGACACAGGTCTATTTTCAGTGTGTGGCATGTGGCAAGCCAGTTTTTCCAGCACCATTTATTAAAGAGGCTATTTTCCTTCCAGTGAACTTGTTTGGCCCCTTTGTCAAAGATCAGATGGCTGAGTGTGTTTGTAATTGTGGCTGTTTCTTCCAGTCTTTTCCACTGATCCTCAGGTCTGTTTCTTAGCCAATATCATGTTGATTTTATTACAGTAGCTTTGTAATATAATTTCAGGTTAGGGATTGTGATGCCACCTGACTTGTCCTTGTTGCCCAGGATTGGTTTTGCTATTCTGGGTATCTTCTGGTTTCAGATGAATTTTACTAATGTTTTCTTTAGATCTGTGAGGTATGTTAATGGTATTTTAATTGGAATTGCATTGAATCTGTACAAAAATTTTGGTAGTATGGTCATTTTCGCAGTGTTGGTTCTTCCTATCCATGAGCAAGGAATATTTTTCCATTTACTGAAATCTTCTTCAGTCTCTTTTTTCTGAGTACTGTAGTTTTCACTGTGTAGATCTTTTACTTCTTTTGTTAGATTGATTCCTAAATATTTCAGTTTTTTGGATGCTATGGTGAAAGGTATAATTTCCTTAATTTCTCTCTCAGTGTGTTTGTTGTGTATAGGAATGCTATTGATTTTTGCATGTTGACTTGTATCCAGCTACACAACTGAATTTGTTGATTAATTCAAGGAGTCTTCTGGTGGAGTTTTTGGGTCTTCC